GGAAGGAAGGAAGGAAGGAAGGAAGGAAGGAAGGAAGGAAGGAAGGAAGGAAGAAAGGAAGAAAGGAAGAAAGGAAGAAAGGAACTGTGTGTGTGTGTGTGTGTGTGTGTGTGTGTGTGTGAAATTCAAAAGAGCAAATCAGTAGTCAGTTTTTGAAAATTAATTGCTTGCTGACAAAAGATACAATATAGGCTGGGTGCAAGGCTGCATGCCTGTAATCCCAGCACTAAGAAGGCTGAGGCAGGAGAGTTGCCACGAGTTTGAGGTCAGCCTAGGCTATATAGTGAGTTTAAGTCTGGTCTGGGCTACATAGTGAGACACTGTCTCAAAAAAAAAAAAAAAAAGGATACAATAACAAATTCCAGTGAATGATAGAGTGCTTTTTATTATTTCCACAAGTAACTGTGTGTACAATCATTTCTTCAGTGAAGACAGAGAAGTCGTGTGGACAGGGGAGATGTGTCACGCTGAGGGATTGTCACGTCTTCAGAAGTCACCCAAGCAATGACACAAAGGTTGGAAGTTGGACAATATTATAAGCCCAGCCACAAGGCTGGGTTCCCCGTGGCCTCAGATGGTCAGCTACAGTACTGAGTGGCACATGACCTCAGACAGGAAGCCCACGACAGGGCTGCCACCACTGAGGCAAGCGGAAGGAACACAGCCTCCTATGATACCCAAGTTGGAAAGAGTTGGCTGCTCACAGGCTGTTGCTTTGTTGTTTTTAGAGACACCAGAGTTATTTTATTTTCCCCTTTCCAGCTTAGAGCTATTTCTGTGAAAGTTTTAAACACGAGCATGCCTAGCAAGAAGTTGGAGCCGCCTGGGCACCGAGAGGGAGACCACAGGCTCCCAAGGGTCTCTGTGGATGGACTCCTGGAAAGAGGCTTGCGTGCTGTCGAGAGGCATGAGGCAGGCAGAGGCCGCCCACCCATAGGTGGAAGCCTGTTGGAAAGCTCACTTTAGACCACCTGACCCCAGTGGCCCAAGGAGAAACCTGGTTCCTGCTTTCTCCATGTTATGGTTTGTATCTAGTTGTCCTGCCAAAGCTTCACGTAGGTCATGGGGCAGACGCAGCTGGAGGAGCAGCGAATGGCTTGAGGGGCAGGGCCAGAGGACCAGGGCGGAGCTTGAGGGTGGGGCCGGAGAGTCGAGAATCGTTACACTGGCTAGCCTGTGCGTTAGGAAGCGATGTGGAGAGGGCCATCCTGGACACGGCAGCGCCAGCCTCTCCTCCAGTGTCTTGAAACCTCCAGTAACTGTGAGCTAAATAAACCTTTCCTTCCCTCATTTTGAGTGTCGGGTATTTGTCTCAGCAACGAATGGAGAGCAACTAAGACACTCCATAACCTCAAAGATTTTGGTTCAGTGATTCTGCCCACGCTGAGGACCTCCGTGAGATCCCCTCAGTGAGCTCCCTGGTGACAGTGAGCAAGGAATTTGCTTCTGCAGGAGAGGCTCAGCCAGCTCTAATCTCTACATAGCCAGGGCAGACTC